TAAAGGAAGAAAAAAATCATATTCCCACCTGATTCTTTTAGGTAATGCTTAATAATTGAAGAAACTCCTTGAGGTGCCACAAAGTTTGAGTCTCCATCTTTCATCACCATTCCCTTGATAGGAGAAGTAAGAGGCTTCAGAATACCTTGAGCTAATAGTTCATCATAAAAACTGAAATGAATCAATATATATATATATAATGTAAGAATATACTATAATTAGCTCTGAAAATAGCATAGTCTCTTGGAAAAATTTCTAGAGGTTATAATTTGAACTCATAACCAGCAACCTTCATGTGATCAACTCCATGTGTATTTTGTGTTAAATAAAACTTACACTTTAGATGAAGAACATAAGTGTTTTAAGAATACATAGATCTTTTGCAGACATAAGTCAAAAGTCTATTTCTCCTATGTATTTCAAAATTAAAGCCAATGAAAATAGAAATGTATTTTTCTGTTTATTTTACCAATCTTTAAATTTGGTTAAGAAGATTGACTTGCATTATAGGTATCTGTCCTCTTCCTCAGCACCAGCCTATTTATTGAGACCTGTTATGTTTCACATATCATCTCATCTAATTTTCACAACAGTCCTATGAGGCAGGGATTATAGTTCCCTCTTTGCTCAGCTTAATCTTTTATTGCTAGCTAACACTACCAATGATGATAATATAATCACTATATTATGTGTTAAATGTGTTAAAAATGGATGAACTCTTATCTTTTAACATCATACAACTAGTAAGATTGATTCCACCCCTTTCAACTCACCTTTGGTGTATTTTGGCATAATAAGGAGTGCAGGTGATGTACTGAGCACCTAGATCTGCTGTGCACTGTAGATGATGAGGACTGTTGGCTGTAGTCATTCTTCCCCCTTAAAGTAACCCACAGGAAAATGCCTTAGTGCATTAAAAATGAGCTTTTGCTTAATGCAATTCACCCTGGATTACCCCCCCCCCCAAATTATTTCAAATATATATCATGTTAAATGATAAAACCCTCAAATTTAAAAGAGAACATAAGGTTGGGCAATCCTACTTCCGTAGTGATACTGCCTCGGAAATCCAAGGAGGGGTCGCTATGAGTCGGGGCCGACTCGACGGCACATAACAACATCATTTAACATTGTCATGAAGTTATTGTTATGTGCCATCAAGTCAGATCCAACTCATCACAAGCCCTCTTAGGGTATCCCAGGTGGTATCATTATGGAAGTAGATTGCCCAACCTGCCTTTGCTAGTGGGTTTAGAACTGCCAATCTTCTGGTTAGCAGTCAAGTGCCTTAGGCACTATGCTACCAGAGCTCTCACCTCATGAGTGAACTCTGGTAGCCTCATGAAGTAGGTAGCACAATTTGGTCACTGTAAGATGGAACAAAAGAAGACTTGTGAATGCTGCAACATTGCCAACAACTGTGTCTGGTGCATATATTTAATAACTTGAATAAAAGGAAGAAATAAAATATAACAAAATGATTAATGGAACCTCAAAATGAATTACTTGAATGCTTTCTTTAACTCTTTCGGTTAGGTTTGTGAGAGTACCCTCCCGCTTTTTTGAAAGGTCACTTTACACTGTTTGACTTTTAGGAAAGACCTACATTAGTACTTGTTTTTGCTAGCTGAAAGAAATCAGAAGAGGACTTTTTCTTTCATGAAAAGAGGCAAAAAGCGAAATCAGCATCCAGTGTTTGTTTTGCTGCAACTTGTTAAAAAGGCAGCACGCATCCCAAGAGGTGAAAATGGTATTGCCAAGCTCCTTTCTGGAAACTACACTCAGCACCTCAGCATCAAGCAGCCACAGCTTTGAACAACTGTGTCTTGAGTACTGTATGTTAGTGTTATTCCAAGTTTTATGTGTTACTTGATATGATTTGGTAGATTTTTGGGGTCTGGGAATGCTCAAAAACTTTTCCTAAATCAATTAACGGTAATTGCTTCTTCACTTTAGGCCGCCTCTGTTCACTAAAGTTTTCACAGAAAGGTTCCACTTTCTCTTGTTGTTATATGCTGTCCAGTCGGACCTGACTCATAGCGACCCCTCCTTGGGTTTCTCAGGAGATACCACTACAGAAATAGATGCCCAATCTTTCTTCCCAGGAGTGGCTGGTGGGTTTGAACCGCCAGCCTTCTGGTTAGCAGTCGAGTGCCTTAGGCACTATGCTACCAGAGCTCCCTGCAATAGGATTCAGTAAACTAGATTTCTGGAAGTCGTTGGTCAATGGTGCCTTGGGACCCTTTTAATCCGGAGAAAACTGCAAAGGCACATATAGGGACAAGACAAAAATCCACTTATTAGGGATAGCGGTAGGCACAAGCTTTGCAAACTCTCACTAGGTACCTCCGTGGCCCCTCAGGCCTTCCTCAAAGCGCTCACTATAACCTCTGCCCCGCCGGGCAAAGCAAGGGTCGCCCACACCCCTCAACGCTTTCCCCTCCTCTCCTGCTTTTCCAAAGCTCCGGAAGCCTCTGATCACGTGACGAGGCCACTACGGCGCATGTGCAGCTTCCTGGTCGCTGTGGTAGCAAAGATTCTGGATTTTCTTAACAGACAACAGTCACCGAGTTCACACTCACGCCAGCTCTCAATCTGTGGGACGTGTAGGCCTCATTCCCCACCCCCCTTTGGGCCGTTAGAAGACCCACCTGCGTCCTCTGCTTTGTCCCACACAGAGAGTTGCAGAGGACCTGACGCCTGCCTCTTCAGGAGCGCCGCGCACAAGCTTCCTGTCAACCCGGCGCCCACGATCAGCACCCGTGCCATGGCTTGGGGGTCTCTGCGGGCAGGCGAGAGGGCCTAGAATCTAGAAACGCGGCTGAACGCGAGCAAGCACTCCCTGGGCTCCGTACTCCAGGTCCCAGCCGGTCCTCTTAGCAGTCCCTCAAGCCGACCTGCAGGGGGCAGAGAGGAGGTGACCAAAGCTAAGAGGCCGGTCCGCCAGGGAGGCAGGACAAAAAGTGTTCCCCAGGGCTGCAGAATTGCTAGGCTTCTTTGTTTGCAGGCCTATAGTTGGCTTCCGAGGCACCCGGCGTGTTCAGTTAAGTTCTGTATTACGGCCAGACCCACACCCAGAAAAGCCTGGAAATTGTGCAGATTATATTGAGGACTCGTCTCACCGTAGGCTTGGTACTGACTTCAGCGCAGAACCAGCCTACTAGGATGAGAGTCAGTGCTTGACGAAACCTTTGCTGTTTTAATAGTCTAGGTTTTAAAGTGGTGAGGGACCCGCTAGCGATTCCAGGACAAGCTTTACTCTAAGGCCTTAATAGCCAATATTCTCATAATAGAAGAAAGATTTTGGGTTCAGGGAGAGATGATTCTTAACATTAGTCCTAGAACTTTGTGTAAGTTATTTAACCACACTGAAGCTCAATTTTTCCATCCATGAAATGGTATCAGTAATATGTGTTGTTGTTATGTGCTGGCGACCCCCCTTGGGTTGCGGAAGTGGATTGCCCAACCTTCCTTCCGAGGAGTGGCTTGTGGGTTTGAACCGCCCACCTTCTGGTTAGCAGTCAAGTGCCTTAAGCACCACTACCAGAGCTAATGTGTACCTTGCAAAACTTTGACATATATTTGATTCACCAGAAAATTGTAGCTCATTTAGTTCTTCAAAAATTGGTCATATTTTATCTATGTCAAGTCACCTTCCAAATGCTTTAAGGGATATAAAAATGAGCAAGACAAGGATACATGCCATTACCACTGCTTATTTCTTTTCTCTCCAATCCATTCCCACCACCATTTTACATATATAGATGTGAATACTAAATTTAAGTGAGTTAGCCCAACATTACACAGCATTTCAATGATGAGGCAAGGGCAGATCCCTAAGGTCTTCTGAATCTTATTCTTGTACTCTTCTTCATCATTTATTTCTGCTTCCTCATTTATGTTGTCCATTCATCTCAGGCAGCCAAGCTTGAAGCCTCATGATCTTCTTCAGCAGTTTCTCTTTTCAAATCCCTGGTATCTGTCAGTCCCCAAATCTTTTAAATATCTTTTTCATTTACTTTTAAATCTAATCCCATCAAATTATACCTTGGAAAAGTCCAAATTACATTTCCACCAGAATATATCAAAGTGCCTGTTTTACTGCACTCTTCTCAACTGTAGGCAGTTAGCATTCTGGAAAGTAATTGCCAACAAATTAGCTCAAGGGATCATTAGTTCTTGCCTGATTTATTCCATTAGCTTTCTGAAAAGAGATATACTACCATTCTCTGTTTTGCACTCAGCTTCTAGGGTAAACCATAAAAATAAAACCCCAAATTCATTGCTGTCTAGTCAATTCAGACTCATAGTGACCCTATATGACACAGTAGAACTAACCTCAAAGGTTGCCAAGCCTGTAAATCTTCAGGAAACTAAACTGTCACATCTTTTTCCTGCAGAGTGGCTGATGGGTTTGAACCCCAAACTTTTGAATGCCTAGTGTGTTAACCACTGTACCACTAATGCTCCTCAAATTTCATAAACCATAGCTCTATATCAGTAGTAACTAATCCTTAAAAACTTTCTGTAGCTCTCAATTTCATACAGAATTAAGTCCAACTATATTAATAGAGCACAAAAACTATTCAGTGATAGTCCCCAAATCATGTTTATTTCTCATTTTGGTAACCTTATATCCTGTGCTACAGCTGAAATGAATTTCTTATTGTTTCCTGAACACATGTTCAGTTTTACCATTTCTCTGTAGAAATACGAGTAACTTTTTAAAAAGTATATTGTCAACAAGAACAAAGGAAAAAGTCAATGCTTAATTTTAAATTCACGATTACTGAAAACATAACTCAACAGATATGCTCTGTACTCAAGAGCACCATAAGCAAAGAATTTCCACTTCTATGTTGTTGTTAGGTACCTTCCAATCCATAACGACCCCATCTACAACAGAATGAAGTAGTGCCCAGTCCTGTGCCATCCTCATAATCATTGCTATGTTTGAACCCACTGTTGCAGTCACTGGGTCAATCCATCTCATCAAGGGTCTTCCTCTTTTTAGTTGACTGACGCTTTACTTCACCAATCATAATGTCTCTCTTGAAGGACTGGCTCCTGATAATATATCCAAAGTACATGAGACAAAGTCTCATCATCCTTGCTTTTATGGCTATACTTTTTCCAAGATTTGTTTAATCTACTGGCAGTCTATGGTATACTTAATATTCTTTGCCAACGTCTTAATTCAAAAGCATCGATTCTTTGATCTGCCTTATTCAGTACCTGGCTTTCACATGCATGTGAGGTGATTTAAAATACCATCGCTTGGGTTAGTTGCACCTTAGTCTTCAAAATTACATCTTTGCTCCTTAACACTTTAAACACTACGTCTTTTGCAGCAGATATGCCCAGTGCAATACATCATCTGATTTCTTGACTGTTGCTTCTATGGGCATTGATTGTGGATCCAAGTAAAATTAAATCCCTGACAACTTCAATCTTTTCTCTGTTTGGCATGAGTTGCTTATTGGTTCAGTTGTGAGGATTTTTGTTTGCTTTACATTGAAGTGTAATCCATACTGAAGACTGTAATCTTTGATCTTCATTAGTAAATTGTTCAGGTCTTCTTTATTTTTAGCAAAGTTGTGTCCTTGGCATGCTGCAGGTTGTTCATGAGTCTTCCTCCAATCCTGATTCCACATCCTTTTTCATATAGTCCAGCTTCTTGGATTATTGGCTCAGCATACAAATCGAAGGAGTATAATAAAAAGGATAAAACACCAATGCACACTTTTCCTGATTGAAACCAAGCAGTATTCCCTTGTTTTGTTTGAACATCTGCATCTTGGCCTGTGTACAGGTTCAGCATGAGCACAATTAAGTGCCCTGGAATTCTCATTTCTTGCAAAGTTATCTATTATTTGTTATAATCCACAGAGTTGAATTCCTTTGTATAATCAATAAAACACAGGTAAGCCTCTGGTAGACTCAGGTAAACCTGCAATATGCAGATGACACGACCTTGCTTGCTGAAAGTGAAAATGACTTGAAAACTTTACTAATGAAGAGCAAAGACTAGAGTCTTCAGTGTGGATTACATCTCAAGCTAAAGAAAAAGTTTCTCACAAGTGGACCAATAAGCAACATCATGGTAAATGGAGAAAAGATCGAGGTTGTCAGGGATTTCATTTTACTTGGATCCACAATCATCCATGGAAGCAGCAGTCAAGAAATCAGACATCTTATTGCACTAGGCAAATCTGCTGCAAAAAGCCTCTTTAAAACGTTAAGGAGCAAAGATGTCACTTTGAAGACAAAGGTGCACCTGACCAAGTCATGGTATTTCCAGTCACCTCATATGCATGTGAAAATGGAGCAATGAATAAGGAAGACTAAAGAAGAGATCCTTGTTTGTACCCATTCCAAAGAAAGGTGAGCCCACAGAATGTGGAAATTATCAAACAATATCATTAATATCAAAATAATAATTCAAAAATGGATGCAGCAATATATTGACAGAGAACTTCCAGAAATGCAAGCTGGTTTCAGGAGAGGATGTAGAATGAGGGATATCATTGCTGATGTCAGATGTATCTTGGCTCAAAGCAAAGAATACCAGAAACATGTTTACTTGTGTTTTATTGACTTTGCAAAAGCATTTGATTGTGTGGATCATAACAAATTATGGGTAACATTGAGAACAATGGGAATTCCAGAACTCTTGATTGTACTCATGAGGAACCTGTACATAGACCAGGAGGCTGTCATCGGCAGACCAAGGGGACACTGCACGGTTTAAAATCAAGAAGGGAGTACATCAGTGTTGTGTCCTTTCACCATACTTGTTCAATCTCTATGCTGAGCAGATAATCCGAGAAGCTGGACCACATGAAGAAGAACGTGGCATCAGGATTGGAGGAAGAATCATTAACAACCTGCGATTACACTGACGTACAACTTTGCTTGCTGAAAGCGAGGATGACTTGGGGCACTTACTAATGAAGATTGAAGAATACAGTCTGCAGTATGGATTACATTTCAATATAAAGAAAACAAAAATCCTCACAACTGGACCAATAAACAGCATCATGATAAATGGAGAAAAGATTGAAGTTGTCAGAGACTTCACATTGCTTGGTTCTACAATTGATGCCAATGGAAGCAGCAAACAGGACATTAGATGATGCATCTGAACTCAAACTCACTGCTGCAAATATGCAAAAGACCTTAAGGGAGAAAAAGAATTGGGCATTTCCAGCATAGTAAAATCAATTGATGAACAGTAGATTTTGGTTCAACTCAAAGAAATTGTTCAAGGAAATATTTTAAGTATATTCATCTAAAAGTAGATTGAATTTTCTCAGAAAGTAGCTTTTTACTTGGGGAATTTTCAAGGAAAAAGCATGAACCCATAATGAGGGATATTATAAAGGTAGTTGAAGTATTGGCTAAGGCAGCAGTCTTCAAACTGGGGTACGTGTAAGTAAATGATGATTTCCTGAATGGTTTCAAGGAAACCATTAGACATAAATAGTTTTAAGGAAATTAATATCCAGGTCCTCAACTGCCAAAGTTATATTTATTATTCTATTTGTAAAAGTCTCTGTTTTAAGCATGCTTCCTTTTACAATTTCCCTTCAATTTTACAAAAGGAAGATACAGCTTTCATTTATCTATAATGTTACATGGGGCATTGCTTTAAGGAATAAAACTTCTGATCTGCCAAACCAAAGACAATTGCAAATATTGGAGTTGGTGTTGATAAACTAAATAATTCCAGTGACAGTTTCAATTTCATCCAAATTAGATTTCCAGTTCTTTGCTTTTAGTAAAATTGAAAGAGAACCTCATAGAATTGTCAGCTGAAAAATTATTAAAAATAATTTTCATTAATAGTTCGTTTATATTTTTGACACTGGACTAATAATAAAGCATCATATCAATTTAAGTTTTAGAACAAACCTTCTGTATCTTTATAGGTAGAGAAATGGATGCTCAGAAAGGTTAAGTAGCCTGCTTTAAGTCACAAAGCTAGTGTGATAGAGTTGGTAGTTTTATAATACCTGTCAGGTATAATGTCTGGCTTATTATACAATGCTCATAAGATCTATAAGCCATATCTTCTGTCTCCTCTGTGGTCCCTTCATTTCTTACTTTTCTAGAAAGAATTTACATGTTATAGTTTTGGCTTCATAGAACTTCGAAGACTGATAAATTACATTACTATAATAAAAATGAAATCAAGACCCTCAGAAGCTAAATGAATGAAAGCTATCCAAGCTTCTAACTTGACCTACCCCGCCCTGCCCTTCCAAAAATACACCCTTTAAACTTTATACAAATTTTAATAAGTATTAGTCTGATATTATGAATTGAAGTGTAATCTTTTCAAAATATGTGTTATAAATCCCCCCCCATACCTGTGGGAGCTCTCATGGCATAGTGCCTAAGATATTTTTGACTGCTAACCAGAAGACTGGCAGTTCAAATCCACTCAGCAACTCCTTGGAAGGAAAGTTGGGCAATCTACTTCTGTAAAGATACTGCCTCAGAAACCCAAGGAGGGGTCGCTATGAGTCAGAAAATGACTCAATGGCAGTAAGTTTAGTTTTTTATACCTGTGTTTATAATTCCATTGGGAATGGATTTTCTTTGGTAAGTTAATGTGTAAATATTAACTCAGAGTATATCTTAAATCAATCTTTTTCAAGATATAAGAGTAGATTAAGCAAGCAAGCAGAAGATCTCCAATGGGGGTAGACAGCTGCCATGCCAAATGAGGTCTCCAAGGAAGCAAGAAACAGAAGCGGAAAAGAGACAAGGCCCTTCCCGCTAGAGCCAACAGATAGAGAAAGGCTTCCTGTAGAGGCACCCTGAATTTGGCCTTGTAGCCTCCTCAACTTTGGAAAGAAAAAAATTCTGTTTGTTAAGGTCATCCACTTCTAGTATTTCTGTTATAACAACACTAGATATTGAGACATCTGATAAAAATGTTATTACATAAGTAATTCTGATTTTAATTAGCTTACAATATATGATAACCCATTTAGAGTTGGGTTAAACAATACTATAACAGAAACCCTCAGAGAGGGAATTAAACTACAAAATTTGGTAGTTGGAAAGGCATGGAATTTGTAATTAAGAATCCTGGCACCACTTATACATTATGTATGCTTAGATAAGTCATTTATTTATTACCCTCAGTTTTCTCATCTGAAAATTGTAATTCCTACCTCATGGAATTTTTTTTTTTAAAGCATCAAGTGGTATTGTTTGCTGTAATTTTTAAATAGTAATAACCACACCTTTTTATACAAAGATCCTACATGTGGTACCTTTTCAGAGTGATGTATTTGATCCTTCTGGGAACTGCTTATGCTCTTTTTCGACATCAAAGATCTGCGAACCCTGAAGCAAGTATGAATATTGTAAGTTGTTAGTAAATAACTACTTAACTGCTGAAATAAGAGAAAATGCCATTCTTCATATTTTGGAGTTTTTATGTGAATAGAACTATACTTAAACATATCTCTGTGCTCATGTATTTTGACATGGGTCAACTAATAATCCCCAGCTACTATTCTATAGCTCCCATTTCCTCTTCAGCCTCATTTTGACTCTGTAATGAATAAATAAATATCTTCATGGAGGATTCAGAAGTTCTCTAATATGCTCATATCCGGGCTTTGTACTAGTTTATTCTGGTTCAACCCCATGATAAGAATTCAGTTCTCCACCCCAGTTATACTGAATCAGAATCTACAGTTTAACAAGAGCCCCAGGTGATTCTTATAGATCTCCAGGTGATTCACATGTATACATAAAAATCACCTGGGGATCTTGTTAAAATATGAATTCTGAGTCAGTATATCTGGGGTAGAAATAAAGGAGTTCTGGTGGTGTAGTGCCTGAGGCATTTGACTGCTAACCAAAGGCTGGCGGTTCAAACCTGCCAGCTGCTCCATGGAAGGAAAATTGGGCAATCTACTTCTGTAAAGATGTACTGCCTTGGAAACCCAAAGGGGATCTCTATGAGTTGATATTGGCTTCATGGCAGTGAGTTTTGTTTTTGGTTTGGGTTAGAAATGCAAATTATCAGTATGGAGTTGAAACTGAATGAACCAGTTTGGAGCCCTGGCTCATTTATAAACAAATTTCAATTATAAACTTGGATACATACACATGCACACAAACAGTTATGAGTACATACATATTTTAATGTGTGTAAACTTGTAAGTGAATAGTAGTTAAAAAAAGGTTAGTGGATTAGTTTCTGAGATACCGCCTTGAGGAAAGGGGTTTTATTTTTTGTTTTATTTATCCTTGAGTCCCTGATATGTAAGATGGGAATTTTTTAGGTGTTCTATAGATATTTATTGCCTGAATGAATCAGATTGAGTGAAAATAAAACTAGATAGGCCTGAGGTTGAAGGAGAATTCTAATGTTTATTATTACATACTGGGTTAGAAATAACAAGTGATTTAACTTAAATGACTAAGTATTCTGCTGAAAGTTTTGTTTTTTATTTATACAGAGTCAAATTATTGCCTATTGGGGCTACCCTGATGAAGTATATGATATTATAACTGAAGATGGTTATATACTTGGCCTTTACAGAATTCCTCATGGGAAGACAAAAAATATTGACAGTCCAGGTAATATTACATTTAGAATCTTTTAGAGATGATGTGGGGGTCTGAGGTTCTTAACTTTTCCACATCTTCTAAGTGAACATAGGGCAAGAAAAGATTTAAAGATTAAGCGAACAGTTAGCTTTTCATATACCTCCATGCACATCTCTCAAGGAGAGCCTGAGTCTCCACAAGCTTTCTGTTCATAGAGTGTGGAATATAAGTTTCCTTCAGTTTCTCTCTGTGGGTTGCTTTACTCATACATGCTGATTCTTTAGAGGTTTGTTTGATAAGGGGTTAGAAATTCCCTGGAACATTATATTATTATATAGCCTTGAACAAAGACTGGTAAAATTTTTCTTTCATGCTTTAAAGACTCTCTCCTCTACTAATAGCAGAGAGATCGGCTTTGTAGCAGTCTCATGGCTCCTCATTTCAACAATGGTTTGTGTGTGTCAGCAGAGTATGGTGCAAAATGTACTAAATTTGTCAGGACACCTGGGATATTGTCGTAGATTGGCAATTACTGGCAGACTGTGTAACAGATGACTTTTTGTTCATCTAATTGCCTAAGTATTTTTTCTTCTCAGAATTCCTCCCTCAAAAGAATGTTTGTCATAGGGCACACTCTCAAGTTCTTATTTTAAACATTAAAGTACTTTAGAGAATGCATGTTAGGTTTGAAACAACCTCAATTAATGTAATTTTGGGAGCAATTCATTTTGTTTCAACCCCTTGCTGAGAATTTGCATTTCCACCCCAGATACACTGAATCAGATTAACAAGGGTCTTGTTAAAATGTAGATTCTGATTCAGTGTGTCTAGAGCAAAAATGCAAATTTTCAGCAAGGGGTGGAACCAGAATGAACCACTTTGAAGCCCTGCTACAAACAGCTTGACAGGGATTCAGGTGCATTTGACTTACTGAGGGTGCACTATTCTCACTGCCATTGAGTCAGATCTGACTCATAGCGACCCCTCCTTGGGTTTCCAAGGTGGTATCACTACAGAAGTAGATTGCCCAACCTTCCTTCCGAGGAGGGTGCACCATTAGGAAAAAAAAAAAAAAAAAAACCACCTCGAAACACTGCCGCGGAGTCAAAGCAATGTGGAAATAAGGACAGGGTAGGTTTAAGATCTAAGGCATGATATGACTCAGATGAAGTCTATCTGCAACTTGATCCCAGAGGAATTTAATGGGTTGCACCACAAAGGTGGTTCCCACCTTGAAGACAGGGAGCCAGCTTTTTGCATTTCCATGTCGGTCAATCATTATCTCTAGAAAGAGGTATAATCTGAATGAAGCCATTCCTGTCAAAGGCATTTCTACAGAAAAAGGGGAAATACTGAGCCCATGGAAAGCAACACTCAACAGCTGGAGAATGGTACTGTACCTGCTCAGTAAAGGAGATCTAGGCAGGGCACCTGCAGCATCAGCTAGAGTCTACCCTTTGCACTACTCAGATCCCCTTGGCTTTCACATTTAGTTCACTTCATCCAGGTACAAGTTTTCCAGGATTCTGATTGTTCAGAATTTTGGGGAAAACTTGCAAGAGGAAGGTTAGTGAGGCAAATGCTCATAAACTCCCTTTACCACCACCTGTTCTTGATTCTTCTACCTCTTAGATAGTTTGCATAATGAGTAAGCCAGGCCTTCATCCCTAAGGATTACCATGACCCTATCAGGACTAGGCTTGCCTATTAATAGTTAAAGCATGAGAGTAACAAGAAAATGCTCCAGTGTATCATCTGAATGCTACTCTTTTTCTCTCTGTACCCATTATGTATCAGTAGTGTACCTCTTCATGATAATGAAGGCCATTTACCCCTGTTGGGAGCTCTGGTGGTGTAGTGCCTAAGGCACTTGAGTGCTAACCAGAAGGCTGGTGGTTCAAACCCATCAGCCACTCCTCAGAAGGAAGATGGCGCAATCTACTTCTAGTGATACCGCCTCGGAAACCCAAGGAGGGGTCACTATGAGTTGGGGCCGGCTCGACAGCACATAACAACAACATTATCCCTGTTAGTATAGTAACTTGGCAGAGCACAGAAGGAATTAAACAAGAACATGGTCTCAACAGACTCCTGAGTAGATATGGAACATAAAGTACATCCCAGAGTACATCCCAGGAAGTGGCATTTTTTACCTTTGTGACAATCGGTCATTGAGTGTGTGGGTTGCCACCTCCCACAGGATGGGGCCTCCCATTTAGTCAAAAGTGCCAAGTGTTCTTACCTCAAGACAGGACAGCTGTGCATTGTACAGCTGGAGAATGAGAGCATCAGCCTAGTCTATGAGATTTAGGAAGAGCACCAAAAGCATCTATTACAGTAAATAATATTGTGGATTTTCTGTGAATGGCAACTTGGGGCTTTGAGGTCCATTCAGCATACCTTGCAGGTTTTCAAAAGGAGTTATGTCTCAGAATTTTTAGAAATAAATTGTTGTTGTTAGATGCTGTCAAATTGGTTTCACTTCACAACAACTCCTGTGTACAGCAGAATGAAACACTGCCCAATCCTGGGCCCTCCTCATAATCATTGATGTGCTTGAGCCCGTTATCACTCCAACAGGGTCGGTCCCTCTCGCCGAGTGTCTTCTCCTTTCTCTCTGACCCTCTGCTTCATCAATTATGATACCCTTCTCCAGGGACTGGTCCCTCCTGACAATGAAATAGATTAAGGCTCTGGAAATGATTAAATGATGAAAACTGTGGCTCAATTCATAATAACATTGGGATTAAAGATGCCTCTGAAAAATAGAATCTTAACATTTTTGTGTGAAATGTGTAAGTGGGAATATCATATGAAATATTTTATGTAGTATTTTTGGAAATATATATGAGTTCCAAAATCACGATTAAATAGTTGAATATTTCTTCTCTATTCCTAAAAGTTTATAAATTTAAGTGAGGCATGATCTAATTGTCCATTTGGTTATTTGAAAGAAGTTCATTATTGTTCTAAACATCACTGGCAATGGGATTAATCATTTGTAATTTACTAATTTATAGAAACATTTTAAATCTTCAAATTGTCGTGTTAAAATTTTGATTTCAAAAATAAAGATTTTTATGTAGGCTTTTTTTTTCCCCCCAGCTCAGAAGCTTGTTGTATACTTGCAACATGGTTTGCTTACATCTGCCAGTAGCTGGATTTCCAATCTTCCTAACAATAGCCTGGGCTTTATTCTGGCAGATGCTGGTTATGATGTGTGGATGGGAAACAGCAGAGGGACTACCTGGTCCAGAAAACACTTGTATCTAAAAACAAATTCCAAAGATTTCTGGGCTTTCAGGTACAAACAAAATGAAGTAATGTTTCATTTTATTTTATAAGTTTATTGAACATATTTTTCTTTATAACTGAAATAAAATAAAATACAGGTCTGACTCCTTTCTCAACTCAAGGTTTTTACAATAGACCATCAAAGTTTGTATAAAATTTGTCTTGAAATTTAAAGGGCTTGTTTGACTTTTGAACTTGTCTCCATTTTTTTCAATAATATCCTTTATTTCTTAGTACATTATTGACCACCTCCCCCTCTCCTTTAACCAGCCTCTCACTCTATAACTTACACATTTAGTCTTTCTCACTGTATTTAGAATATACAAATATGCCCTTTCGATAAGACTGCCTTGTAAAATATTGTATTCCTCGACTTCCTTGTGTTCTCCACAAAAATATCTCTATTCAGCAGATATTTGCTTACACCAAAAATAGGGTTGAAATTAAATTGTCTTTATTTATTTACCTATTCATTATTTTCAAATGTTAGTATAAAAATAGTGGGAAATACTGGTTTATTTTCCTTTTCTTTTGTAGCTTTGATGAGATGGCCAAATATGACCTTCCAGCTTCTATTGATTTCATTGTGAAGCAAACAGGACAAGATGAAATATTTTATGTGGGCCATTCACAGGGCACTACTATTGGTATGGCAAGAGAGTTGGTAGTGATATTCTTTAATCACTGTGCTTAAGGTTATAGATAGACTTCTTAAATTGTAGGTGACCTTCTAGGCCTGCATGTTAAGCAAAGAAAAACTGTGAGACAAGCAGGGCAGAGCAGAGCAGCATGCCTGGAATCTTATATGCTGCTGTGGTTCACATAGAGTCTTCTCTGATCATAAATAATTGGTTGCAAAAACAAAGTTCTTTGTGGTTTGCTTGTTTGCAGTTGTATAAAAGTTCGATATTTTAGTTAAAAGCAAAGTGAAATTATAACTGTCATTTGTTCCACAAAAGGAGCTTACACATTATTTTTATAGGTTTTATGAGTGGGAAAAACTTGAAAATGCTATTCATGTTTTTACATCTAAGGCAGATCAGACAACAAATGCACAAAGATGCAGAAAGGCTTCCTATATTCAAAGATCACCAGAAGATATCTTTTATTCCCTTAGAACCCAAATACCTCTATCTAACATTTAACAACTTTACTTTCAGGCAAAAATTTTCCTAATATGTAACTTAATTTACTTGCGTGGTATTATAAATCTGTTTTTGTTCTTTCTACTTTCGTTGTATTTCATTGTATTTTGTTGTTCATTTTATAATAGAAGTCCATATTAAATGAGTCTTGTCTTTTGTAAGCTAAAGAGTAATAATACTTTCTTTTAAGAATAGTTCACTTCCTAATAGAAAAAGCATGTTGTGTAACAATCTAATCCTATTTTCCGTAGATCTTTTCTCTAATATTTATTAACCAGGTGTGTGACTATTGATCCAAATTCTCTTCAGCTCTTGAATTATCTGAAACCAAGAATCTCTGAAAAATTAGTAAAAAAAGAAAATGAAAATAAATTGTTTAAAAAAAGAGTGATGGGGCAGAGTTTATTGACTCTTAATATGATATGTATTTCTTTGATTATTTGACTTCCCAGAACACAGCAAATAGAGATGTGCAAGGATTTAGCCTGATAAAATGGGAAAGAGGAAAGAATTTTGGTCAGATTAAGACTATAAACCATTATAAAATGTAAAACAATGCTTAATATCATCTGATGATGCAGTAGTTGAATGTTTGGCTGCTAGCTGAGAGGTCCATGGTTTGAACTCACCAGCTGCTCTGTGGGAGAAAGATGTGGCAGTCTGCTTCCATAAAGATTTACAGCCTTGGAAGCCCTATAGGGCAATTCTACTCTGTCCCAGGGGGTGGCTATGAGTCAGAATTGACTCCATGGCACAGGTTTTGTTCCAATCATCTGTAAGAAGGCAGGGAAATTTAATACTATGCAAAGTAAATGTTAAAGAAATTTGACACTTATTATTTAAAGAATAGGATTCATCTATATGGAAAACTCACTTATTTTTCACCCTTGCCAGTTACACAAATGTTTAATATTATTACTGATTTTTAAGCTATGGTATTATAATTCTGATTTATTGCTCAATTATTATTCTTTAACCCTAATAATTGGGATTATTCTGTATTCAATATGCATGTCAAATACTGAGTGATCAGTAATTGTTTGATAAATGAATTAAGAAATAATTGAATAAATTAATTGTTCTGGGACTATTTTGAACTTCTTGTTATCCTCTGTGGTGTCTGGCATAGTTCTTAAGACATTTGACTGCTAACCAGAAGGTTGGCTGTTCAAACCCACCAGCCACTCCTTGGAAAGAAGACTGGGCAATCTACCTTCATAGTGATACCACCTCAGAAACCCAAGGAGGGGTCGCTATGAGTCAGATCTGACTGGACCACTGTGAGCTTGTTTTTTAATTTTTTTTTTTTTAATTGTTTAAGAATGGCTTACTAATTTATATTTATTTATTTTTCAGCTTTGATAACATTTTCTACCACACCAAAAATGGCTGAAAGAATAAAAATACTTTTTGCATTAGCACCAGTTTTTTCCGTTAAATACTCAAAAAGCCCTTTGATTAAAATAGCATACAAGTTAAAGTCATTGATCAAGGTATGTTCTAACTTTCCTTTACATAGTTGATACTCTAAAATGACAGTAATTCTATGCTTTCAAAATAAGGTATTGACTGTGTTCATACAGATACATGTATGAATTGAATTTTTTGGTTTAATTTTTACTGGATTCTTCTATCTACAAAGAGATAAACATTTACTTATGATAATCTTAGACACCTCATAGTGAGAAAAAATCCAGCTGCAAAATTATTTCTACATCCTGCTTCAAAGTTTTTCCCTTAATGACCTTTTCAACTACTGCAGGATAATACATTTGGTTATGTGCATAATGAATTCATCACAACATTTCTTGATTGACCATTGTAGTTTTCCAAATACCAATAAATGAAATTTTCTTTACAGGCTTTTTCTGGAAACAAAGACTTCTTGCCTAATACTTCATTTAAACGTTTTGTTGGTTCGAAGCTGTGTCCACTACCTTTTTTTAATAAGATTTGCCTCAATATCTTGTTTATGATCTCTGGATATGATCTGAAGAATATAAATATGGTGAGAAGAAGTTGTATTTGAAATATATTTTTGCCAATGTGAAAAACAGCTCTTGATAATGCTTACTTTATGCCTTGTGTATAATTCTATGGTTAATACACATATACTAGTAGTTAGATTGTCTGATTTTGTGATGATAGCAGCATTATGCAATTAATTTGAATTAACATGCTAGGATTATTTTCATTACATATTTGTCTTTTCTCTATTAGGACCAGAGAACAGCCACTGGGATGGTATCTTCATTAGCTTTAGCTATTAGGTATTATTAGTTTATTAGTTTCCTGAGGCTTTTTGTATTCAGATACTTTTCTATTCACTTATTTTCCATAGCTCCTTCCCTTATACCCTGGTTCCTAACATATTTTTCCTTTCTCGTTGATCCTTTTATAGTTAATTAGAATTAATGTCTGTGTGATGGTTAAGGTTGTGTGTCAACTTGACTGGGTCATAATTCTCAGTTGTTCAGCAGTTATGGTGAAGTCATCTTGAGTTTCCTCATGGGTGTGGCCTGCTTCCAGTATATATGGAAGTCAAGTTATAGGACAATGAGGGTCCTGTCTGAAGTGCGAACGAGCCAATCTGCCCAGCTCTAGAATTTGGGTGGAAGAAAGGCGATTGTTTGTGGTGCAGCACATTTAGGAGCCAAGGGAAATCACCCAAATCTGAGTCCCTGAGCCAAAGCTTAAATAATAAACATACGTTTCAAAAATAAGGAAATGGCACATATTCAGTAATTTTCTAGGAAATCTAGTACATATTCAATGTAAAGTGGGGGCTTCTTTTGGACAGAAACTGTCCTTCAGACCCTTTGCTTCTGATTATCTTCTCTGAACCTTAGGTTGCTACAATGTGGTTCCCTCTGGTCTTCTGACGGCACTTACGTTCTGGGTGGGTCATCCAAGGGATACAGCTCCTCTTTACTGTGGCATGCTTAGGGGCTAAAACTACTTCTTATCTTTTTCTTAGCCTCATGTCTTCCTGGTTCCAGCAACACACAATTATTAAGTGTAAGCTAATACAGTAGTTAAGCTCAAGCTGACACACTGTTTAAACACAAGCTGACAGAGTGGTTAAGCAAAAAAGGAGGGTGTTTAGAAACTCAGCCTTTATGATTCCAATCCTGGCAAAAATTCCTGGCTTTCTGCTAGATCTGGATCCTGCATTTGTCTCATCATCATCTCCAGTTCCTGGACTTAAACCAGTAGCCTACAATATTCCCTGCCAATTTTGGGATTGTTGCCTTCACAATCTGTGAGCCTGACATTTTACCCACTGCTCTTGGATTCATCACTAACTGAAGCCAGCAGTTTGGCTGGTTTGCCTGCCAAACTTGGGTTCATCATTTTCTGCAGCTGTGTGAGTAAAGAGAAGCCTCCAGCTTGACATCTGACATAGATTGGCCTCTACAATTGTGTGAACCATTACCTTGGGATAAGTTTCTCTCAACAGATAGATAGATAGATAGAAGATAGATAGATAGAGAGATAGAGAGATAGAAGATTCACTGGTTTTGCTTCTCTAAAGAACCCAGCCTAAGAGAGCCTGCCAGTTATCTTACAAGTTGCCAGTATTACCAGGCAAGATCCTGGAGTAAGAAAGTGTTTGGTACACAAGCTGTTATTGTCATGATTTTTAGATTAGTGTTAATGATGTACATATTACTTCTAACACCTTTTCTGCACATTAAATTAAAAACTCAAATTAATAGAAACAATTGTGGCATTTGGACAGTTGTCTGTTTTGTGATACACAGATGTGATACACAGGAATTAGATTGACTACATCTGTGGCAAGAGGTGATGGAGAAGCTCAATATCTTTAGCCAAAACAAGGCCAGGAGCTGATTGTCGAACAGACCATCAACTGCTCATTTGCAAGTTGAAATTGAAGTTGAAGACAATTAAAACAACTCCACAAGAGCCAAATATGACCTAGATAATATCCCTCCTGGATTTAGACACCATTTAAAGAATAGATTTGATGCATTGAATATCAATGACCGAAATCCAGAGGATTTTGTGGGATTTTGTGGGATGACCTTGAGAACATCATCCATGAAGAAAGCAAAAGGTCATTAAAAAGATGGGAAAGGAAAAAAAGACCAAAATAGAGGTCAGAAGAGACACTGAAACTTGCCCTTGAACAGAGAGTAGCTAAAGCAAATGGAAGAAATGGCAAGATAAATGAGCTAAACAGAAGATTTCAAAGAGCAGCTCAAGAAGACAAAATCAATTATTATAAAGAAATGTGCAAAGACATGGAGTTGGAAAGCTGAAAGGGCTTTCTCAAGCTGAAAGAACTGAAGAGGAAATTTAAGCCTCGAGTTGTGATGCTGAAAGATTCTATGGGCAATATATTGAATGATGCAGGAAACATCAAAAGAAGATGGAAGAAATACATAGAGTCACTGTACCAAAAAGAATTGGTTAATGTTCATCCATTTCAGGAGGTGGCATATGATCAAGAACCAATGGTATTGAAGGAACAACTCAAAACTGCACCAAAGGAAGTGGCAAAAAACAAGGCTTCAGGAATTGATGGGATACCCATTGAGATGTTTCAACAAACAGATGCCACACTAGAGGCACTCATTTAGCTATGCCAGGAGATTTGCAAGAAAACTATGTGGACAGAGGTTCCGGCAAGATGGCAGACTAGGCAGAAAGACTGCACAGACCCTTTCCAACAAGGAAAAGGGAAACCAATTAACACAGACACAGAAGATAATCTTGGACCCCTGA